ATAATGTATAATATGTAAGGTATTTTGAAGGAGTTGTGGCATTCTATAACTCAGAGGCATTGGCAGCAGCACGTTTTCTCCTCTGTCAAATTTTAACTTATAGCCACATATTGCAGTTACAACATATTGTTCAGTGGCTATTTGAATTATATTATCTAATGTTAACTAATTTTCATAAAATGGACAAGTAGCTTAAAAGGAATTTTATATACAAACTGCTGATCAAAAAAAATACTAGGGCTTCTTTTCCCCAGTGTACATTATTGTCTGCTTTGTCAAAGATCAGTTGATTGTAGGTAGATGGTTTTATATCTGGGTTCTCTATTCTATTCCATTGGTCTATGTCCCCATTTTTGTACTAATACCATGCTGCTTTGGTTACTATAGCCTCGTGGTATAACTTGAGTCTGGTAACATGATGCCTCCAGTTTTGTTCTTTTTGCTTAATATTGCCTTGGCTATTTGGGCTCTTTTCTGTTTCTAAACCAAGTGTAGAACTATTTTTTCTATATCTCTGAAGTATGACTTTGGTAATGTGATGGGGATTGCATTGAATTTGTAAATCACTTTGGGTAGCATGAACATTTTAACAATTCATTCTACTTATCCACGAACATGCTATGTTTTTCCTTTGTTTGTATCCTCTGTGATTTCTTTCCTCATAGTTTCATAGTTCTCCTTGTAGAGTGCTGGGAAAACTGGATAGCCACATGAAGAAGAATGAACCAGGACCTCTACCTGTCACCAATCACAAAAATTAATTCAAAATGGATAAAAGACTTATATCCAAGGAATGAAACCATAAGAATTCTAGAGGAAAATGTAGGTAAAACTCTTCTAGATATTGGCCTAGGCAAAGAATTTATGAAAAAGATCCTAATGACAATCATAGCAACAATAAACATTAATAAATGGATTTTGATTAAACTAAAAAGTTTCTGCACAGCTAAGGAAACAATCAATAGAGCAAATAGACAACCTACAGAATGATAGAAAATAATCACAAGCTATACATTTGATAAAGGGCTAATACCCAGAATTTACAAAGAACTCAAGCAAATAAGCAAGACAAAAACAAACAACCTTGTTAAAAAGTGGGGAAAAGGCATGAACAGCAGCTTCTCAAAGAATAAACACAAATGGCTAATAAATATATGAAAAAATGCTCAACATCTCTAATCATTAATGAAATACAAATTAAAACAACAATATCACCTTACTCCAGTTACAATGGCATTTATCAAAAAGTCCCAAACACTACATGCTAGTATGGATATAGAAAGAAAGGAGCACTCATATACTGTTGGTGGGCCTGCAAATTAGTACAACTTCTATGGAAAATAGTACAGAGATTCCTAAAAGAACTAAAAGTAGCCCTACCATTTGATCTAGGAATCCCAATACTGAGTATTTACCCAAAGGAAAAAAATGCTTTTCATCAAAAAGACACCTACATTCAAATATTTATTGCAGCACAATTAATAATTGCAAGGATGTAGAATCAACCTGAGTGCCCATGAATTCATGAGTGGATTAATAAAATGTGGTATATGTATACCATGGAATACTATTCAGCCATAAAAAAGATGAGTTAATACCTTTTACAACAATCTGGATGGAACTGGAGACCAGTCACCTAAGCGAAGTGTTTCAAGAATGGAAAAACAAACACCACATGTACTCACTATTAAGTTGGAACTAACTGATAAGCACACAGATGCACAGACGGAGGTAAAACTCAGTGGAAATCAACCAGGGGGTAGAAGGGAGGAGAGGAGGGGTAAAAACCTACCTAACAGGTACTATGAACACTATTTGGGTGATGGGCACACCTTTAGCTGGGATTTAAGCATTACAAATGTGATCCATGTAACCTAAAACATTTGTACCCCTGTAACATTTTGAAATTAACAATAATACTAGGAATATAAATACAAGTGTACAATAAAGCAGCAGTGATATGCATCCCACAGGGCAGTGAAATTTTAAAAAATGAAGTGTAATTCCAAGATCTTACTTAAAGTTGATTAAAAACAAATAAAAATTATGAGTAAGACTATTTTAAGTATGGATTTACATTCACTAATATTAGCAGTGAACCTCACCATGAGTATGTATTGTTTCTTGGGATATTAGTGAAGCCATCACTACTGGCAAGACTTTGTAAAACAAACCATCTCAATGAAGCAAACCTCTATTTTATTTCTGCTACATTTAAAGACACACAATACTCAATCTAGAACAAAATTTTATTACATTTGATGATAAATTTTTATAAACTGCTTTTGAATTTTCTCACATGGTAGCAGAGGTAAAAAGTCACATACTGGGAATGACTTGCTCTTTCTGGTGGAATAAACATGGCTGAAAAAATTACATGAAAAACAATATGGCAACCAACTGTATTGAATATCCTGATCACCAACACTGTTGGAAGACTTACAGAAAAATCTGTCAAATATTTAAGAAACAAATACTACAGAACTTATCAGCTTTTTGGAGTTTTATTCTTAATTATGAAGACAACCAAGGACCTCTAGGTATATGAGGAAATGCTCCAATGTAAAAGAAAAAAAAAAATAAACAGAGAATCTAAACCTAGAGGACATAGACAAATGAAAAAATGCAGAAAAAAAGTTTTAAAAACTATGATTAACATCTTTAGAGAAGAAAGAAAAGATATGGTGTGTTGCATTCATGAAAAAGATGAGGGGAAATAATCAGCAGATAAAAATAATTCTTGTAAATTAAAGACTTGAAGGGGAGAAATAAATTGTTCTACAGAAGGGTTGGGAGGTAAAGATGATAAAGAGATAAAGAAAGTTGAACCAAAAGATAAGTAGATGAAAAAAAGGAAAGAAAAGACAGTAAGTTGATCAGGCCCAGAGATCCAACACATGAACAAAAGGATTTCCAGAAAGAAACTACGGAGAAATAAAAGGAAAAAAGGAGGAAACATTGAAAACTTGGAGGAAAGCCTTTGAAATTTTGAAGGAAACAATATGTTAAACTCTACCAAATTATTAAATTAAGTGTGAAAATACAAAAAGACATTTTCAAAAATGTAATTATTTAGAAATGTTAACTACCAGGTATATTTATATATGTTTTTGGCAAACTAAGAAGATATGCAGTAAAAAAATAATTTTGTGGTAGGTCAAAAAATATAGATTAGTTGCAGTAGGCCAACTACTATAAAAAAACAACCCCCAAATCTCTATTTAGACACAATAAGTTTATCATGTATGCATCAGTCTAACAGCAACTCTTGAGATCAACTTTCCTCCAAGTAGTGATGTAAGGACTTACTATTTTAGGTCCTGGGGTCCCCACCATTCAACTGGAATTTGAGTATAGTACAGGGAAGCTGGGTGAGGTTGCTCACACCTGTAATCCCAGAATTTCCAGAAGCGAGATGGGAGGATCCCTTGAGTCTAAGAGTTCCAGTGAGTTATGATTAGTGCCACACTGCACTCCAGCCTGGGTGACAGAGCAAGACCCCATCCCTGATTTTTAAAAAAGATGGGAGGAAGGGATATGACATAGGAAATTTTTGATTGGCCTGGAAGTGGTTTACATCACTTTTGGTCATATTCTACTGACCTGAACTCTAATTTGGCTGCAACTAATTACAAGGTAGACTGGGAAATGTCTACCAAAATTTTATTTCATTTTATTTTTTAAATAAATGGAATCCTTGTTGCAAAATTTAAAGAGAGCTGTTTGAAGTCAGTATCTCTGTTGAATAAGACTGGATACTGAGAAGGAATGGGGCAGAAGTGGGCATCCAGCAAAGTGTTTAGTACTGGCAATCAATCTGCTTAAGTATGTGATTTTCTTTCTTTCTTTTTTTATTTGAGGATATACCAGTACATAGGCTTATTTGAAAATGTAGATAAAGAAACAAATAGGAAAATAATGCTTAAGGTCAGCTAAAATTTTATTCAAAATGCATATAAACAAACTTTTTATTAGATTCCTATAAAATTGAAAATATTAATAGATATTAGGATATATGATGAAGACTAAGCATTGAAACAGATCAATCTAGATAGTTTTACTTTCTTTTAATATTAGTCTATAAAACTACTGTCTAAAATAACCATTTCTGAATGCTTAATTGATATCTAATAATATTCTCTAGAATTTGGGAATTAATCTAATTAATTTTGCTAAGCTGACAACAAAAAGCATAGAAAACAACTCAAGAAATGCAGACCATATAACAGATGACTGTTCTTATTACCTCTGGAAATAATAATTCCCAGGGAAGATAAAACGTTCATCATACTGTTGTAAAATGAATGAAAGCTGCAATTTAAACTTCCGAATCCTGATAGCATAACTGTACAAGAGGGGAAAGTGAAATTTACAAGGAACAATTAGAAAAATTATAAATACTTGGGTTTTCTAAAATTATTTTATAATGTATTTGATCACTGAGCTATTAAGATTTTTCTCTCACAAAATTATAATAAATTCTAGGCAGTCTGAAAATCCTATCAGCAGGAAGCATGTGTCTTTTTTTAATGCAATGTGGCTTTAAAATGAGCAATTCCCAATTATTAACCTTAAAACATCTCAACAGACAGAAATAGAGATAAATGCTTTGTTTTTCTGGAGCCCCACACCAGGCATTTCCATCATCTCCTCCTTCCTTCATAGGAAGCAATTAAATCTTTGCATATAAGATTTACAGTCTTTGGAAAAGCAAAATCATTAGAACAAAACAGTGTGGCTATTTGAAAAGAATATAAGGGTTGGTAATAACAATTGAACTTTGAGTTATTAAAGCAATAAATTTTTTAATCAATTTGGAAAGTATGATGAGTATCTGAAATCTTTACTTGGTATTAACTAATTTTTCTCTTCTAAGACAAGTATTCTCAGAGTGACCTCTTAAGATTTCTTCAAGACCTAACTCAATTATTAATTTTTTCTTCAGACTTCCTAAAGAAATAGAAAGTACTTTTTAAAAAATCAGTATGGTATTTATTTTATTTTGTATAATTCTTATGACGGTTAGTGGTCCCATAAGTCTTATTTTTTATAAATATGCATTTCCTTTGTTACCTGATAGGAGTCTACAGTTGCCAGAAGCAATAACAGCATCATTTATTGCTCTAAGTAAAGGTTAATTCATAATGATGCTTGGCAGGTCATAGTTGATGATATCATGTTGATACAGTTCCATCAACAAAAGAATGAAGCAAGGTGCTTGACAGGTCCACTTTTCGAGTAAGTACACTTGAAGTTGCAGAAAGAATCCAACAAAGCAAGACTGGAATTTGTTTCAAATCTTCTGGGAAACTTTCAGCTCAGGAGAGTGCAAAACACCATAAAAAAAAAAATCTTTCGGTTGTCGAACAGCTGAATGCTGATGAATGTGCACCCAAAGTGCTCACACCAGCAGATTTTCTGGACATGGTACTGTTTTGGGGAGTCAGCACAATGTTGTGTGTTCACAATCAGCTGAAGACCAAGGACAGGCTGCAGCCCAAAGATATGAACAGGAAAAGACACAATTCAGAAACATAAGTCAGTGAGCCAAGATCAATTCAAAAATCTCCCAAAATGTTTTCAAAGGGACGAAATCATTTATTTTGTTGTTACTTTTAACAAAGCAAATAAAAATCATTATAATACTGCCTCCCTCCTTGTCATGGTCCTGATACCTCTCACCAGGATTACTTATGCAGCCCCCAGCTCCTTAATTTCAGTCTCCTCCATGACTGCTCAAATCTGCATGGACCATTGCCAAACTAATCTTCTAATCTTTCTAGAGAAGTGGTCTCCAACCTTTTTGGCACTAGGGACCAGTTTCATGGAAGACAATTTTTCTACAGATGTAGGGGGTGCGGTGGGGGGAACACACATGATGGGAGCGGCTGTAAATACAGATGAAGCTTTGCTCACTCGCCCACACTCACCTCCTGCAGTGTGGTCTGGTTCCTAAGTTTCATGGAAGACAATTTTTCCATGGACCAGGGGTGGGATGGAGCTAAGGCAGTAACGTGTGGCCCAGTTCCTAAATGGCCAGGGACCGGTACCAGGCCACAGCCCCGGGGATTAGGGACCACAGTTCTAGAGAATTTTCCTATTTTTTTCTCATATCATCTGTACTTCAATTAATTGACCCATGTGGAAGACTGCAAAATTGGCCCCTCCCTGTATCCATACCCTTTGCAGTGTGACTTTGTGGCTCCTTGTATTAAGAGGTATAGTCTAATTCCCCACCACTTGAATTTGGGATGGCACAGTGATATGTTTTTTACCAATAGAATGTAACAAAACTGATAGTGAACCAGGTTCAAGTCTAGGCTTCAAGAGACTTCGACACACTTCTATTCTTGCTATCTTATATCTCGGCCATGTGAGGAAAAGAAGCACAGACTAGCCAGTTGAAGGATGAAAGGCTCCGTAGAGGTGAGGTGAGGCACACAACCAGCTAACAACCAACCAACGAGCCTAATGTGTAGTGAGTTATTTTAGAACAGCCCACTCCAGCTGGCCGTCCAGCTGACTGCAGCCCAATTGAGATCCATCAAGCCCGGCCCAGATCAGCTGGAACCACTCAGCCAACCTTAGAATAGCAGACAACAGCAAATGGCCTTTGTTTTCAGTCACTAAGTTTGGAGATGATTTGTTATGCAGCAATAACAAATGAATGTAGCCCACACACATTACTTGCTTATTCCCCCTTCTATGTTTATATCTACACATTGCTCTTCCTGGAATGCCTCCTTTCCTCTTTTCTCCACCTCCATATGTCCAAATACTTTTAAGACCCAAGTTAGGTCCTATCTCACAAAGCTTTCTTTGACTACTTCAATCTAAATAAATACTTCCCTTTGGTTTATTTTTTAAAATCTTCATTATTCTCTAATATTTCATGTATTCATTATTCGATTATAAAAGCCCTGAGTTACCTCAGTCCATAACATAGAGCCAACTCATGCTGGATGCTTCATAAAAATTTATTGGCTGAAAGCAAATGGGCTTGATATTCTCCCCACCTCTCCAATCTGTGCCTGGTTTAGGTATCAGAACCAACTCCTTCAGCTGACTGTGTCTTGCAGCTGATTAACAGGTACAAAAATTTCCCTGAGGAAGATCTTTATAAAGAGAATTGATGGCTATATAAATATAGTTTACTTAAACCATCAATTTCCTTTAAATAAAAGAACTGTGTTGATAGATTTTTCATATATATATAAAGCTTAAGAGAATTCCCCCTTTGTAAGGGCTATCAGTTTTTGTTTCTGCTTATTAAGGATGCACTCCATATTCATTTTACTTGACATGACAGGAAATTGTGCATGCTTCAGGCCTTATAATTCTGAGCCTATTTCTGAGATACTTTGTCTATTATTTCAAACTGTCACAAGGTCGGTTGACTCTTAACATGCATCAGGTAAAATAAGGTCAGCTAATATTTTATATATAAAATTAAACACTGTAATAAACCTCTATTCAATATCATCCATGACCACCTCATGTTCTAATACTACTTTTTCCAGAATTATGATACTTACACAGGCTATTGCAAAAGCTACAACATTGGAACTTTAGTACAATAAACAATATAATATAGCATATGTACAATTTTGGATTCATTCATAACCTCCAGATAATTCCAACAATTAGTCTGAGTAATTAACATCTTGTAAGTGTAGTTTTTCTTTTAGTGTGTTTTCTTTAGAAATCAAGAAATACATACTCATTTTTTTAAAAAACTCGTCTCAGTTTAAAACTCTTATTCTAAGATTAGTGTTAAATAATGATATTGCTGAATATTATATACAAGCCACCCAAGAAGCAAATCTAAGCCAACATACAACTTGGCTCATGCATAAAAAGTTATCTGTTAGAAGTAGTACCAGTTAGAAGGAGTGAGAGCAGCTATTCCTTATTTAAAAGCAACCACTTACTATTTCTATGTGTCAGGTACATGTAAAGAACTTTACCTTTATGCTCTGATTTAATTCTCACAACAATCCTGCAAAATAGGTATTATTATTGTATCAGCCTCACTTTTGTGAATAAGAAAACTAAGGGTCTTCAAAGTAAAGCAAACCTGCCCATAATCACACAGATAATGAGCCATATTTTTAATATCACATACCTTCCAGGTTGCTCTTGTTTTCAAGAAGTCCAGATCTATTGCTAGGGTTCCTTTTGAGATCATTCTGATGGCAAAGCTTCATGTTTTCACCCATATCACCTTTACTTAGGTAGCTGCTGCCTGTATACACAAGCAGCACAGGTGAGTGGGTATGTTGAATGTATAGTTTATGCACATGCATAATTTTAATGGTAGTATCTTCATTTTAAAAGTCTGCTAAACTCTTAGTGCTAAATTATTAGAACTTTGAGTTGTTAAATCTTTGAATAAATTTATGTTTTAAAAGAAGATAACCAAAAAGGAATTGCTTAGTTCAAAGGAAGCAGTTACTACTAGTGGTAGAATTTTAGGCAGCTGTGAAGATGTATAATTTAATAAGTGGTTCTCACTCTTGGCAGTACATTAAAATCATCTGCAGAGCTTTAAAAAAAATTCTTTCCAAGTGATTCTGATCTAATTGCTTTGTATAGTGGTTACTGAGTATGAGTATATTTAATAAAAATTTCCTAAGGTAATGATAATAGTCAACTAGTGTAAGAAAACCATGAGTTTGGATAATGAGGTCCTACTACTGTTCACAAAATACTTTTATATCTAAAACATTAGATCTTGCCTTGGTTTTCCTCAGATAGTGTGTCAGTCTGTTGAAATGAGCTTTACTCTCCAAATGAAACACAAATTTTTTACAAACACACAAGTATGTGGACTTCAAGACTTAAAATCTTTTTCTATGAAAGTATTAGAAGAAAATATTCAAAATGTTTATAACTCCAAAGCCTGGTATGGCTAAGAAATAAATCCTAGAAGCAAAACAAAAAATGCTGATAAATTGGGCTGCAAAATTATCAATTATTTCTGCATAGCAAAAAATCATCATAAAGTCAAAGAAAAACCTCAAACTGAGAAAAAGATATTTGTAACACTTATTATACATGGATAATTTTCTTAAAATATAAAGAAAGGGCTTGAAAGTGCTGAGAGGTTCTGGGAGCAGCAACATCCACAAGCAATGAGCAAATCTCACAAGCAAATCTTGCTTTCTAAATACCATTCTCCATTTAAAGGAACTAGGATTCTTAGAGGAATGGCTGATTCCAGAGCTGGGGCAGGAAAAAGACAGGATGAGCTTAGAACATCTTGTCATGTCACAAAGAAGTACTAAAAGAATGAAAACATGTAAAAAGGACACAGAAACAGCTTCAAGGGGATCCCACTGGTAAAACCTCAGACAATTTGAGTACCAAAATATATATAGTGACATTATAATCCATTGAATTAAATAGTAATCCATAATCCACACAAAAATAAAAAAATAAAATATTAGATATGGAACAGCATATTTACATTGCTTAACACATTAACTGTCATGTGAGTTATATTTAACTCATGCTAGTTTGGAGTCTGGGGCCTCATGAAACATGTAACTCACACATCTCTTTTACCTTGGGACCCATGTGGTGCACAGGCAATTCATGCTGCCATGCTGTAGCATACATGTTACATGATGGGTGGTCCCCTGGGCAAAACCGTTGGTTTGTGAAAATCTTACTTGCTATTGTTTTTATTGTTACAATTAATATTGACAAATTAATTGCATATAACTTACACAGAGAAAATTTTAAAAAAACAAATTTTTCATTAAATTAGAAAGGATTGTTTTGTTTTTGAAATTTTTTTCTATTTTCGTAAGAAAACACCATGGCCCTAAGGAAAAAAAAATTTTTTTTCTAGTGTGGTGGTCAATGTATTAAAGCATTTCCCTATAAGATACTTATTAAAAAGGGGGAAATGTAAATACAGAGAAGACTGAGAGACACCACTTGACTCAGGTGATCTGAGTCAACATCATCAGCTAACCAGACAAATCAAACTTACATTCCATCTGGTAAGACGCTATAAGAACATAACATCTCTTTGGAGATATTCTTGCCAAACATGCATAGTATGAATCTAATTATGAGGTAAGAAATTGAAAGTCATTCTTGTTGGAAACGCCAAGGAGGAACGAATGACAGCAAGATGAAGGAAAAAGAAAGTTTATTTCAACGTCTGCCTACAGTTAACCCTGAAATGGCGGACATCTAGGGCTTTTTTTTTTCTAGGGTTTGGGCAGGCTCTCAAAGAGGTGGAGTTTGGGTGGAGTCTCAAAGGGGTGAGGCCAGTTTAAAGGGAAAGTTCTCATGGAACCTCTCACCAGCCTCTGGGTTCAGCCTAATAATTCTATTAAAAAAAAAACCGACCTGTAATCTTTAAAAGTGTCAAGCTCATGAAAGCCACGGAAAGATTGAGGAATTGTTCCAAACTGAAGACAACTAAAGATACATAACAACTAATTTGCAACACTTGATTCTGAACCAGATCCTTTCCCTATAAAGGATGCTTTTAGGACAGTTGGCAAAACTTGAATGAGATCTGAGAATTAGATGGTAGTAAAATATCAATTTTGAGCTCCTGATTTCAGTACTTATATTGTTGTTATGTAGGAATATGCCTTTGAACTAAAATATTTGGGGATTATGGGACATTAGGTCAACAACTTACTCTCAAATGGTTCCAGGAAAAAAAAATTGTACTGTATTTGCCATTTGTCTGTAAGTGAAATTGTGTCAAAAATTTTTAATGCATTGGAATTTATTTAAAAAGTTCAATGAAATGTGAGAGACATTTACATATTTTCCCCCAAGGAAAGTAAGAACAGTAACAATCCACTAGATACTATACGAAGCTAAACAATACAAGAACTTGGTAGGTAAGTACCAAAACATCATACCTTGAGGTTTCAACTACAGGTTTTATCCTGCCTTCGGACATTTAGGATTGCACTAAAAATCACAGAAGACTGCTAGTAGTACAGTCTTCTTGGAAGGAAAATGACTTATATTTCCTTCTCAAAATTCAGTGGAACAAAGAAGGAAAATATGTAAAGAGAAAGATTATGTAAATAAATAAAGCCCAAAGTTCTGCAGCAGCTGTCTCGCAAATCTGTACATCTAACTACAGTTAAACAAAAATTTTAGGCACATTTATGTAGTTTCAACAAATACTTCACAAGCACATTTTTTTTTCAAAAGTACACTGAGTTTTTTAAAAAATGCTACCTCTTCTCAGAGATAAGAAAAACAAAGTATTCATTGAATGCAAGCTTAAAGAGACCTCTGGAGCTCATCTAACCCATATACCTCCTGCTGGATTATAACTCTATCCTTTTTGTTCTGCCCTGGCAGGAGTAGACAACAGATGGAAGTCATTCTCTGATTCAGGTGAGCTCCAGGGTCTGCAGATAGAGAGCCCAGCCCCTGCATGAGCTGCAGTCATGCCATGCCTGCTTCCCCTTGGATCGCCTCCAGCCAATGTTGCTGTTGATGTTTTGTGGTTCACAAGCTCCATGGGCAACAAGCTCTTCAGAACAATGCTTACCTCCTGGCTGGCATTTTGCTAATCCTCCTGAACTGTGTTGCTTGTGGACCAAGCTAAATGGGAAAGGGCAGAAATTGGCTTTCATTATATTCTGAAGATATCTGTGGGGTGCTCAATGGTCATATTTCATGCCTTCATAGAGAATGATCATCTTTCCAACAAGATTGCTTCTTAACATCACTTGTCCAGCTTCTCTCCCCCAACTTCAGCTACCCTGCGGAAAGAACATCACATTCTGTCTCATGTTTCCTTCCCTGCCTGCTCCCTCCTATGAGAAGTATTAATCAGCCATCAAGTGGATTGACTGAATTACTCCTTCATTTTTTGCTGTCACCTGACCTGAGAGGAGTCGGCCCAAAGTGAAGAGCTCCCCAGGAGAGAGACGTCAAGGGCAGAGACAATGCTAAAATTAGGGAAATAACAAGGGAAATCTATCTCTGAGAAATCTGAATTCACAAGTTTTATACCTGAAATAAACCACAGGAAATCAATGAATCTTCATAAAACCACAGAGTGGGAAGAGACTTTATAGTCACTTGTTCCAGCTGAATCCTGTTCACCATGAATACTCACAGGAGTTCTTGAGTTATAATCCACACTCTTTCATTTACAAAAGTTTTTTTCTTTCCTCTTTAAATCCACTGGAAGCAAGTTTGTGTAGTATGGTCTGGTCCCTACAATTTATAATGTCCTTACCCTCTGCCTGGATAATAACATACAAAATCTGCATTTTTTTTCCTTAAGCCTATGAGATAGAAGCTATTACTTTTTCCATTTCTCAGATGAGAAAACTGATTCTTAGAGAGGTTAATTGACTTATCCAAGACCACAGAGGATAGGAGTGGCTGAGCCAGGATTTGAAGCCAAATTGTCTGATTCCAACATATTTTAGTAATCTCATTTTTGAAAAATATTGTAATGTTTGATGCATACAAAAGAATATATGTGACATATAATGTTTTAGCTATCTCTTGCATATCAAAGAACTTCCACATTTTTGGCTTAAAGTAGTGATTTATTATTCTCTCTTATAGTTCTGAGTGTTAACGGGGCTCAGCTGAACAGTCCTTTTTTGGGTTTTTTCACATGGAATTGCAGTCAGATGGTGGCTGGGGCTCGGGTCATCTGCAGACTCAACTGTGCTTGAAATCCATGATGACTTCATCACTCATATAATGGGTATCTTAGCTGTCTCCAGACAGCCTCTCCATGTTGCTAACTTGAGCTTCCTTACAGTATGATAGTCTCAGGACAGTTGGACTTCCTGCATGGTGGCTTGCTTCCCCAGAGTGTGTGTTCCAAGAGGCCAATGAGGCAGATACAAGACTTTTTATAACCTTGGCTTGGAGGTCACAGAGTGTCATTTCTGCTGCATCCTCTTGATTATGCCCCCAGGTTCAATGTGGGAGAGGACCACACAAGAGCATGAAGATTGGGAGGCATGGTGCTCCGGAGAGCCATCTTTGCAGACTGGTTACCAAATATAAATTATGAAGCATAATCAAAACATAAACCACCATCAGTCTACCATTCAACTAATGAAGTAAAACATCACCATTGAGCTATTGTGTGTTTCCTTCTGAGCCCATCCTATTGACCTCTACAAGTGGTAAATGCTATCCTAAATTGTGTGCTTTTATTCTCACTTTGCTGAAAAACTGTGTGTGTGTGTGTGTGTGTGTGTGTGTGTGTGTGTGTGTGGACTGTTTAACTTTGCTCATTTTAAAACTCTATTTGGATGGTGTCACATAGTACTGTCAACCAAAATAACAAACAAGGAGAGGCTCTCTAAAACACTGAGTTTAGTTGCAAATGAGCAGGGCATTGCAATAGAGGATACATATGCTTGACGCATCATAGGCACATGTTAGGAAGCAACTTAAAAGATCAACACTTAAGCACATGTATAGTAATAACATTCATCGGGTGTCAGGCAGATGGAAGCAGGAAGGAGGGGATGAAGTGTACACTCATGTAACGGGTGTGATGCACACCGTATGCAGGATAGAAGCTTGAAGCTCTCTCTGACTCCAGTGGGGCAAGGGCAATATATGTAACCTAAATATCTGTACCCCCATAGTATGCTGAAATAAAAAACATTTTTTTAAAAAAAGCTAAATGAGAAGGGTTAGTTACATAAGGTGTTTTGAAACAATTATCCTTGGCTACAAAGACCAATAACAAGGGTAGCATCAGTTCAAAGTTGGACAGGAAGTTCCTTGGCAGATGTCCTTGCAGAAATATTTTCTTTTCTTTCTTTCTTTTTTTTTTTAATGCAAGGTTGTGGTGGAAATTTTTGTGCAAAGTTGTAGTTTCAGTAGAATCTTTTGTGATGGTTCCTGTTATCAGGCAAATATGTGTAAGGCTCCCCCAACACCTCATAACCTCCCGACTCCATTTCGCCAGGGTCTGACAGGAGTGACTCCGTTTTGATTCTGACAACTTTCACAGTATGTCTGCTGTAAATTACTTGCTTTTTTAATCTCAATACTCTACAGTAGTCACCCCTTATCCACAGTACCAATTTTCCACGGTTTCAGTTACCTGCAGTCAACTGTGGTCTGAAAATATTAAATGGAAATTTCCAGAAATAAACAATTCATAAGCTTTAAATGACATGCCATTCTGAATAATGTGATGAAATCTTGTACTGCACCACTCCTTCCCAGCCGGGACATGGATCACCTCTTTGTCCAGCATATCCATGCTGTCTATGCTACCCATCTGTCACTTAGTAGTCGTCTTGGTTATCAGATGTACAGATCACAAGAAGGGTGAGTACAGTATAATATTTTGAGAAAGACAGACCACATTCATATAACCTCTATTACCTATATTATTGTTGTTCAATTTTATTATTAGTTGTTAATCTCTTACTGTGCCTAATTTATAAATTAAACTTTATGGTAAGTATGTATATCTAAGAAAAAACATAGTATATATATGGTTTGTTACTATCTGAGGTTTCACTACTGGAGGTCTTAGAACATATCCCCTGAGGATAAGGGGGCCCACTGTATTGGTAAGATTCATGTATTTAGTTGCATATAGACTTGATTCATTCATTTTCACTGTGGTAGAATATTCTCTTAAGGGAAAATATTACAATTTTTCCTTCTCCTATTTGTAGATGCTTGGGATATTTCAGTTTTCCGCTACCACACACATCATCACTACTATGGACACTTTTCTGCTCCTCTTCTGAGGTATACATATGAAATTTTTGTCAGACATATACCCAAAAGGGGTGGCTGGGTCCTGAGTTACAGAGAAAATAGTCTTTTAATCAGTTTCCCTGCCTCCAGCTCACACTCCCATAGTCCATTCTCTACACTCTTGCCAGAGTGATCATTCTAAAACGCACATCTTGTGTTACTCTTACTTCAAGGCCTTAAGTAGCTCCCCACTGATTGTGCTACTTGCTCCCAAACTTTTGTGCACATTAGAAGCACTCAAGAGGCTTGTCAAAAACATAGGTGTCCTGGTCCTGTCACTGGAGATTCTGATGCTATCACTCAAGGGCAGACATTTGTGTTGTAATAAGCTCCCTAAGTATTTCTGTTGCATACCAAAATTTGAGAATCACTGGATACATGATAAAATTCAAAACCTTTACTTGAATGTAAAATATATTATGTAATTTGGTTTCAGCCTATGACTCTGACCTGTCTTTTGACACCCTCAAAGCCAGCAAGGCCAAAGGGCTTTAAATTCCTGAAATGCCCCCTCCTGCCCTCATGCCCATCCCATTTCTTACTGTTATACTTGTAGTTCTTTATTGTGATTTTTTTGTTGTTGTTACTGTTAATTTCTCTCTACTAAGGGGAAAGTCAAGGAACGTTTCCTATTGCTATTGTATCTCCAACATCTTGCATAGTACCAACATGCTTAAGGAATATTTGTCAATTCATTGATTTTCCCAAGGTCGCAAAACCAGTTAATGGTGCATCTGGCATAAGAACCTAGAGCTCTTCCTTTCTGGCCCAGTGATCCTTCTACACCACGCAGTCAGTCATAATGACTAAATAACATATTATCATAGTGTTCTCAGTATTTAGACTAAACGGAGAAGAGTAACCTAATGCCCCCTTAGGAAAGGAATACAAATTCACTCTTGATTATACTGAAAAGAGCATATAAATACAGGTTCAACATCCCTAATCCAAAAATCCAAAATCTGAAATGCTCCAAAATCCAAAATTTGCTGAGTGCTGACATGATGCCACAAGTGGAAAATTCCACACCTGACACCTTTGCTTTCTGATGGTTTAATGTGCACAAACTTTGTTTTATGCACAAAATTACTTAAGATATTATATGAAATTACCCTCAGGTTATTTGTACAAGATTTATATGAAACATAATGAATTTTGTGTTTAGACTTCATCCCATCCACAAGATATCATATCATATATATGTAGATATTCCCCAAAAAGTCCAAAATTTTAAACACTTCTGGTCCAGAGCATTTCAGGTAAGAGATACTCAACCTGTATTTGTAAATCCTTAGACCTCAATTTCTTTCCAAAATGACTAAATTATGGTTCTCCAAACCACAGACTCTTTGGTTCTATTCACTTTATTAAATATCTTAGCTTTGAAAACTTACCATTGTTTTTAAAGGTTGTCTTTAGAAAAGTCATAGAGATTTGATTATTTTATTACTCGTTGTGTTCCTGTTTGTTATAATTTCATTTACCTTCACTTACTTTATAAGTCTTTTCTGCATTATCTATAATTGTTTCCATCATTTTAATAAACTCAGACAGACCCTGTGTAATATATTCAAAACTACCCATATTTAATGCATTTTTGAGAGGCACTTTTTTTGAGATTTCCCACATAATAGAATGTGAATAGAACTGTTATTGTTGTTGTTGTGTGGTTGGATTTGGCTTCTGGCTTCAGAATTCTCTCCAAATGCTTTCTGAATCAGACTTCTCGGGTCTTCCATTGTTTAGTGTTTTTATGCTTCTCGATTTCTGTTCTTTGTAGAAAAGCCATGTAGTATGCAACTTCAAAGAAAATATAAACAACAAAAAGATTTGAAAAATCAATTAAGGTGACTATTGGGTAAATGAGGTTAATTCCATGTTGAAATAAGCCAAGATATTTCCCTTTAGTGACAGATCCTATTTTACTGATATGAATTCTTGCCCTGACAGTGAGCCACAGCAGACAACTTGAGACAAGAATAATTAATTAAAAGATACATTTCATGAGGCAGATGACATTGACAGAGTAAGAAATAAGCAAAGCAGGAAGGCAAAGCAGAATTTACAATCTAAAGATGAGGCACTAAAAGAAAAAAAAACCTCAGCCCTTTCAAGTGGTATAGGTATTTTCTCCCAATGAACAAAAATGCAGAAGGCAATTCAACCCTTTAGAGGTCTGTTTTTCATCAGCTTTGATCTAAAAATTGAGACAAGTGTTTGGAGTACTGTCACTGATAAGGAGGAAAGAGAGGGCTGGAAGCATAGTTGAACAGAATGTGGTTACTCACACCCTAAGCGATTAAACACTCACTGCATTTTTTAAGGCGAATTCCACAAGTCACACAGTTTCAGAAATCATTACAGGGAAAAAGAACACCACACACAGTACTTTCATAAGAGCAAAAGCTGTCATGACCACAGAACACCAAAGCATAAGCTGTGCACATATTCCCAGTTTCATCTTTAGTTTTTCTTATTTGTTTCTAGACACTGTTTTCTCTGCCACCGACAGTGTTTACAGTCTCTGACTGTCACATAATGAAACAGAAGCAGAAAGCCTTTATTATGGTGTTAGTACTTCAGGAAGACCCCGACATAGCTGGGTATTGGACTTGCTTTTGTTTTATTTTGTTTTTATTCTCTCTCCTGGGGAGAATGCTATTTTCTTGTTCTGAGGATCCTAAGGAATTTCAAGTCAGCAGGTTGTTGGTAATTAAAAGGTCAAATTAATGAGACCAGTTACATGGTTGAGATAAAATCAGAGAGGCCTAAATTATTATAGACATTTGCCCCGAGAAGAGGAAGAGATAATCCCATATGCCTACAATTCATTGTAATTCCAAGACCTCTGGGTCCAGGCAACAGGTAGATGGATAAGAGTGAAACTTCTCCAATCAGCCTGGGATTGGCTTGTGGAAAATCAGACCATTTTATTCCATGCCCCTCTCAGTTGAAGGGGGGAACAAGACTGAACACTTCATCAGCTGAAAAACAGAAACTTTTCACTTAGCCATTGTGCTTTAGTTTCCTCCTTATTAGCAGAATGCGTGAAATCTCTTTAGAGTTCTTCCCTCTATCTGTGCTAAATGACTGTGCATGTGTGACAAAGAAGTATAGTTAATGAAATCATTTAAACATTAGTCAGCACCCACTATGTGGCAGATACTGCAAGGCACTGGAGACATAAAGAAGAATAAGACATAATTATCCCAGGCCTCAAGCAGTCATGGTCTAGTGGGGGGGGAGACAGATCTGCAAACACCTAATTACAACATAATTACATAATGTGGTAAATGCTATAATAGGGAGTACACAGGGAGCTGCTGGAGCATGGGAGGAGGGATGAATTCATTCTGCTGGGTTTCCAGGAAGAGGGAGCCTGGGACCATAGGACAAAGGAAGTGATGCATTTATCAGCTGTGTCAGAGTTCTCCAGATAGAGAAGCTATAGAAAGCCATTCCGGAAAGAGGAACCAGTAAAGATCAAGGCTGGTTGAATGCTTGAAAATCTGTTTAAGAAACAACTAGTTTGGAAGGTTTGTTATCAAGGGACCTCATTCTTTTATCAAAGGAAACCTTGGAGAAATAAATAATCACCCCTTCTAAAGCTGGAATACAGAGGAAAGCAGATAAAATAAATATTAGAGTTGCTTTGAGAAGGAAAAGTGGTAGAGATGGCTCAAAGAGGCAACAGGCAGCGTGGTGAGGAGGGAGGAGAGTGAGGTGAGCTAAAGCTAGTCCCAGATGGGAGCCCTTATTTTTAACATGCTGTTTTTATGTCCATACCTTTATCTGGTGCATTCTTTTTCATTTTTACATGTTACCCTAGCCACCTGATCTCTGAAGCAGCACTGAACCCCTTAAGTGATGGGGTTCAAAGGTGTATCCAGGGATGGTGTTAGCTAAATCCCAAGAGAGAAACAGACTACAGGTCCTCTCCGAAGAACAAAAATAAAACGAAGACAAACACTGCTTCAGTAGAGTTTGGGATCCTAAGGAGACAAGTTCTCCAATTGAGCCCCTGGCAGCAAGCAGTACAAGTGGGGAACCAAACAGAAGCTTGTTACCTGAAAGACCGTTCAGCCGGAACTATTAGTGACATGGATGAGTTTCCAGGACATACTTTTAAGTTAAAAAAGCCAATTGTAAAAGTATCGTAGTATGTATAACATATAGTATAAGAAAATATACATGTATCTTCTCATTTGTGCAAGTGGAAACACAAGAAGAACAAACCAGAAAGAATGAGATTGGTTACCCAAAGGAGATGGGTAGGAACTGAATGGAAAGAGCAGGGGAATGGGAACAGGGCAGAAGGGCCAAGGGGAGAGTGATACTTCTGCGGTTTATCTTTTTAAAAATATGTTCTGACTTTTGGAATCATGATAATGTCATTCATACTTGATCAGTTAAAATGAATTAGGTAGTAGATAGAGGAAACCTGATGGAATGGAACACTCACAGTAACAAATTTAGAAAACAATGTTTTGACTATAAGTTGTATAGCTTAAAGACCAAAAATAAATTAATAAATAAATAAATGTACAATATTATTAGTTACTACATTTTTTTCCCATGGGAGAATGGGTTAGTAACTCAATAACTGCTTTAGGTGAATTCTAGGATTGTTCAAATAAATAATCATGGGGATAATGAGACACTAGTCCCTCACTGCTGGAGAAAGGGACAGGGCAGGCTAGAATGAACCCTGAGGTAGTGGTTCGGAATCCGAGGTAGCAGTGTGAACTCATGATATTTTGGGGGGGGGGGTTGGGTTTTTTTGTTTTTTTTTTTTTCGTTTTTGAGACAGAGTCTTACTTTGTTGCCCAGGCTAGAGTGCCGTGGCATCAGCCTAGCTCACAGCAACCTCCAACTCCTGGGCTCAAGCAATCCTCCCTCCTCAGCCTCCCAAGTAGCTGGGACTACAGGCATGTGCCACCATGCCCAGCTAATTTTTTCTGTATATTTTTAGTTGGCCAGTTAATTTCTTTCTTTCTTTCTTTTTTTTAGTAGAGATGGGGTCTCACTCTTGCTTAGGTTGGTCGCAAACTCCTGAGCTCAAATGATCTACCTGCCTCAGTCTCCCAGAATGCTAGGATTACAGGCGTGAGCCACCACACCTGGCCGTCATGGTTTTGAATATAGGTAGAGATACATATATATAGAAAAAGATGGAGATGGGTGTATGTGGAATGTATGTATGTTTATATCAGCATATATTTCTCATTCATTTTCTCTCTGAGGGCCTAGAAACAGTAACACCTTGACAATGAGCCCCCCTGGCGCTCAGATCACAATTTCACTTTAAAACCCTTCTCCAACAATAGGATCTGGGACTCCTTAGCTATTTCCAGAGCTAAAGCAAGAAAAATACAAGAGGAGCCTGCAACATTTTGTGATGCCAGAAAATAAGGCAATAGTCAAAACTTGATGGGGCGTGTGAAAAGAACACAAGGGGACACTGAAGGGAGCTCCTTGTGGTCAAAGGTGGGAAAAGCAACACAATAAATGAGACTAATAGATTATAACCTCTAGAATAAATAAATACCCAGTGGTCCATACTGATAGACATAAATAATTAATGTTTTTATTTGGGCCCTTCTTTCCTAGATCACCATTTATAAAAATGGGGCTAGTAACATTTATCTTGCAATACTGTGAGGATTAATTGAGGAAGAGGGTGTGAAGGAATAGTTTTAAACACATAGAAAATGCCTAGAAATGTTCATTTATTTCCCTGCCTCATTCTCTTTCTATGTACTCATTTCCCAGAAAACCAGAATATCACAATTTTGAAGTTTAATCTTTGGGAGAGTTTTGATTTAGTTTTAGAAACATTATGTTAGTTGATTTTTAGCAGCCTCCACCAAAATGGAACCTTCTATCTATTGACGTGTCAGTGATATTTAACCTACACTAGTCATTAGGAATTCATCAGCATTTCCCTACACATTTTGCCTTTAGCTTCTTCCCTCCAGGTAAACTGTGGAAGTGATGCTCTGACTTATACTGTCAGAATGCTGTGATTCTGCTGCACGCCCTGGACAGCTGGCCATTAGGGAGCACTGCAGGCTTAGAAGAGGTGACTTGTCTTCCTCAGTGTATAGCCCTTAAGGTAGAGCAGCTGTCACTGAATAAGGAGGCTGATCTTTCATGGAAGAAGTTCTAGTTTGGCCACAGAGGTCCTTTCAGCATTTTTCCTTTTTATGTCTCAATATTTGGGTGATCCATTTTTAGATTGTTAAAAAGAGTTCAATAAACCAATTTTCCTGCATGTTTTCTATGAGTATTGTCTTCTTCTTCAGTTAGTATGATTCTTGAAGGCAGAGAATATTTCTACATTTTTTTGCTAAACCCTCAGCATTCAATTTAATAATCTGCACACCAGACTTGATGTTATCAAGCCAGTTTGGGGTGATAACATCTTAGGAAACTAATCTTAGGAAACAGATACAAATCCAATCCTTCCTCTGTTAGAGAGAGATAACAACACCTGCTTTTTACCTATCATGCAGAGATATATGCTTACATCTTTTTTCTTTTTTAGACAAGGTCTTGCTCTGTCACCCACACTGAAGTGCAGTGGCATCATTACAGCTCACACAGCCTCAATGTCCTGAGCTCAAGCAATCCTCCCACCTCAGCCTCCTGAGTAGCGGGGACTACAGGTGTGTCCCACCATGCCCAGCTAATTTTTCTACTTTTCGTAGAGATGGGGTCTCACTTTTGCTCAGGCTGGTCTTGAACTTCTGACCTCAGACAATCCTTCCATCTTGGCCTCCTAAATTTCTAGGATTATAGGAATGAGCCACTGTACCTGGCCTTACATCATTTTTTAAAAGTTAGAAAAACAGGCTATGGTTTGTGTATAAGCGCTCTACACTCTGGCATAAAGACAGATAATTCATTGTTACACTATTACTTCACTTAGTCAGCAAATATTTATCAAGCATTCACAAAATCCTGAGTACTGTGTTAAATAGTAAGAATAAATAAGACTTGGGCCAAATAAAACATGGCATCTGTCCTCAATGGGTTTATAGTCAAATAGAACATGACAAATAAATACATGCAGTAAAAAGCCATGGTATATTTGTCATGGTAACCAGCTAGACAAGGTACACAGAGGCACAAGGAAGGGCAAGCAATTCTACCGAAATTATTGAGAAAGGCTTCACAGAGAAGATATCAATTTGAGCTAAGTTGGAAAACAATCTAGCAACGGCATGAAGAACAGATAAAAGAGAGAACTGACAGTAAGCAAAAAGACCAATTAGGGGACAATTGCAAGAGTCCAGTCTGGAGACGACAAGCTCTGGAGCAGTGAGAATGGCTAGCACACAACACTATGCAGTCTTCATAGGAGGAAGCTGAGTAAATATTTACTGAATATGTGAAAGAGGAAACTAATAGAGATAATAAATGTTGAAGAGGTAGATATGACATAAATTAATCACATACTCACTTAACAAATATGTAATGTGCATCTACTAAATGTCAAAAGTATTCTAGGTGATAAGAATATAGAGTTAATAAAATAAACCCTGCTCTCAGGAAACATACATCCTAATAGGGAAGAAAAAAATAAATAGACAAATATAAGTCAGGTGTGTATAACTGCTATGAAGAAAAATGAAGCTGGCTAGGAGGAAAAGAGAATAGTAGGGGAGTGGGTTGCTGTTTTTATGTGGGGAGGCCAGGAAGGCCTCTTTGATAGATATCTTCCTATTGGTAGAGAGCTGAATGAAGGAAGGTGGGGAGCCAGGTAAGGACTGAAAGGCCCAGGCAGAAGTAAAAGGCTAGTGTTTCTGGAAACAAGGAGGAGAGAAGCAGAAGATGAAGGCAGAGAAGAAGAATATGATGGGATGATCCTGGGCAGATTGCAGTGGGATGTCCTTTCAGAAGCACCGGTTGTCCTGTAGGTCCTTTAAGTAGATATTAAGTGGAGTTCTGAGGGCCCTGTTGGCAGTTCCACTGAGTGTGCAGGTGGTGTCTCCAGGAATACTCAGGGCTCCAGCCCATTGAGGAAAAGAAAGACTCGGGAGTGACTACATGCTTCCTTGTTGAATTCCTAGTGCCATTCAACCAGATGTATGCTATAAGTAAAGCAGACCAGGGTGGTGGTGATGATTTCAGTTAGGATATGTTGAGATTGAGGTGTCTATGGGTGGTCAAAAGGAGATATTCAGCAGGCATTCTATAAAGAAATCCATAGCTCAGGAGGGACTTCAGAGCTGGAAATGAGAGTCATGTGCTTACTTGTGATAGCTCTACCATGGGAGTTGATGTGGTCACAAAAGGAGAGTTGAGGGAAGAGGAGGACTGATGTTAATACCTAAAGATTACCAACAATTTAAGAAAGAACTAAATGAGACTGCAAATGAGATTGAGAAGGGATGTTTGGAGGTAGAAGCAGAAACAATAAAAATATGGTATCATAGAAGTCAAAGGAGAAGATATTTCTCAAGAAGACAGGAATAATTAACATTATCCAGCAAGAAATACCAAATGGAGGGGTTAAAAACATAATGACATTGAACGTGGATTTATTTTTTTAAGGAACTTTGGTATAAAGAAAGAAGTGAGGGTGGTGTTAGCCTGTGGAGAATCAAGGCGATTGAGATGAAGCTATTCTTGCTTTAGTTTTTGTTTGAATAGTGGTTGAAACCTGAAGATGTTTGTAGGCTTTGGGAAATGAATGGCTATCCAAAGAAGGGAGCTGAAAATTTAGGAGAGAGAGGAAACAGCTAACTGAACAAACTCACAGGAGAGGAAAGAAAATGGAATAGACAGATAGGGACCTCTGGCCCCTCCTGGGGACAAGGTGGCCCACTGCCACACCTGGGGGAGAACACCCTCCCAATCTACCAATCAGAACTTATCACACCAAATGCGAAAGAATGCCATGGAGTCTCTAGCCCACAGACCAAAGAGATAAGTACGATAGAGATTGGAAGGTGACGTAGGACAACCTTAGGCTAATTATTATGTCATTAGCTTAAATTTATATTGCAGTTCATCCCCCACAAATGGGCTTTCAGAGAGGCTCATGGGAGATCCGCATGCATAGTAAGACTCAGGTCATGTAACTCCCAACTGTTCATCAAAGTGGTTCCAAGGTGACGTCTGAACCACGGGGAGGTCCCTATTCAGATACTATAAAACAAGACCTAGATCATAACCAAGCTCTCTTTTGCTAGGACAAGGGATCCTGTTGTCATCTGTGGCATATGTGTCTTCCTCTGTAAATCTATATGTTGCTCTTGCTCTATAATCCTATTTTGTTTCCCCTCAATAAATTTCACCTTGTGCTTGTCTTACTTAGGTGGGTCTGGTCATTCTTTGGCCAAGAGCACACCAAGAACCAAGAACACAGAATGAGATTGCCAAACCCATCAGTATAATGAACTCTGGAGACTCAGAAAGGGGAAGGTGGGAGGGGAGTGAGGGACCAAAATTATTTATTGGGTACAATGTATAATATTCAGGTGACAGGTACACTAAAAACCCTGACTTCACGGGGTTCAATTCATCCATGAGACAAAAAACCACTTGTACTCCTTAAACCTACTGAAAATTTTAAAATAAATAATTAATATTACATTAAAATACTATTTATCTTTACTACAGAGTTTTTTGGTGTCTCTGAAATTTTGTAGCAGAACTCTTGTTAACACAAACACACATACAGACACACACACACCCCTCTTATCAATGAAAATATCATTAGAATTATTCAGGAAAGGGATTAATCCTGGTACAAACATTTAGGCCTAGAGGTATAGAACACAGGGTGGAGGCGGACACTTTCTGGGGCATAGGGTTTGGACTCCAGGAAAGCAGAAATGCTTAGTGACTTTCCTGGTGAAGGAAACTAAGCAGAAAAGTACCATGCAAGGACCATCCCTCTACAGATGAGCCTGGTTTTGAATGTGAGCACATTGATAATAGCCATTAGATGATCACCAAATCGTTCTTCTACGCCCTAATCAAATCTTTGGTAAAGTTTTCTTTCTGTGAGACAAAAAACAAAAAACAAAACAAAACAGACACTTGCCAATGAGCTCACATTATTACCAAATTATGAACCCAATTCCTTATTTTAGTATGTATCCTTTCTTTCCCATAGCAAAATTTACATCCTTCCCCCATGATAGCAATAGATTTATGAGTTTCATATCTTGACTACTTTTCTAACAGCATAAAGTGCTACCCACACAGTTGATTGGCATAGTTTTTATTTCTTGTTGAAACCTAACTTAATTCTTTATTGCTGATTTACAGTTTTCACTGGTGATAAAGAGAGAATGAGGGAATTCACTTGTGAGTATCAAAGCTCACAACATTATAGAAATAGCTAGTTGATGACAAAATGTCTCACTAGCTAGTCATGTAAACATAAGTAATTGTTTTGTGAAGTATTGACAAAGGAATTGACATACTCTCATTGCCAACAGTGTGATGGTAAACATTTAACAACTAGCTCTCCTGAAAAAAAAAAGCCTTACATTTTTGTATTTGCCAATTTCCATGGTGTAAATGCTCATCACTGGTTTCAAGCTACCAACCCAACATCACTGAATGTGGAAAGGGAAAGAGTTGCACAGGAGCACACTATTATATAATATTTAAACCATACAGATAAAATGAACATAAATAATGAGTAAAGATAACTGTAAAATGTGGTAAAATAACTAGGTAGTGATGAGTTTTAAGTGCATGTTACCTCTTTTAAAAGAAATTTACTTAAATTCTAAGTTTATACAATTTAATTTTTAATAATGGCTTGCAAAATTCCTGAAAAATGAACAATCAGCTCTACTGAGGCTGTGTGGTACAGCTCCAGCACTACTCCTTACCAACTTTAATGAAAGGAGCTGGTTATGAGAAAACAGATATGAAGCATGAAACTCCTTTTTTTATAGGCACAACAGCAGCTCTGAGAGATGGTGGCTGTCTGCTTTGAGGGAACAACAGAGACACTGAGAGACTCAAGAAAAGAAGATTTTCAGTGCAAAGGTACAAGATTGAAATATATTATCATGACTGTTACATCTATGAACAATTCATAATGCTTTGATATGTCTAGCTTTGTGTTATACAAGTAGGGCCATGCTATAGAATCTGCTCTACTCCACTACTCTGCTGGGTAACTCTGTTTAGGAGATTGAAATATTGTTTT